ATGTGGACGCAGGCGCGAGTCAGATCGAGGGTGACGTCGAGCTGAACTGAGCATCTACAGTCAACCCGTGCTAATTTGACGGGCGACTAACACTTGCAGTCTGTGGCGGGAATAAGCTGTCTACCTGTCGTTGAAGCTACTTAGCTTATAAGCGAAACTCGGCGTATAATGCGCGCGAGAGTAAGTGCAGAAGCGAGATTCCTAATCGATTACCATACAAGGAACCTGCACGTATAAATAGACTTTTAATCTTTGCGTTGATAACCTATTTGTGGTGTTGTATAGCTCCGAGATATTGCAACCGAAAATTTCCATATGACGAAAATATAGATTGTCTACGCGTATCTTGCGCGTAGCCAGGTTTATTACCTGGCTGTATGAGATTTCAATATAATGTCAGCGGAATGAACGTACACTACACGTACGCAATATTAATGACGCTCACGCTATAAGATATGAGTTTTATAATGTGTGTCCAGCGTGCACGAGTGATCTTTACTGAGATATTCTAATCACAGCATAGCGGCAGCGTCGCTGGATCAATACAGGCCTGGCCTCCTCTAACATTCCTATAAAAATATCGCCTGTTTTTCTCTTCTGTAGTCGCTAAATTGCCTCTTCGACTTGACCTGCTAGCACTGCGAACGGACAAAGATGTGGTCGACAACACCGGCCCAAAATTGAACACATGTTTGGTATCTGTTTGTCTCTTCTTGTGCGCAGACCCAGAATTAACGTAAACGTTCATGATGGAAATTTTGCGATTCCGAGCAGTTGTTTGGTGCAGGGAAGAACTTGTCGTTGACATATCTCGTCGCGTCGGTAGGAAATCCGGCGAGTCGACCATGAGTCGTTTTAATGAGCTCCGTGTCACCATTGACCGCGACGTTTCTTGGTTACTCGGCGGCATGAGCCCGCTTAATGCGTTCGCGGAGACTTCATCATCGTTCACATGTCGGTCACTGTAACAGTGCATATCGCCAGGAGCATACATGGAACTCTCCGACAAGCATATTTCACCTGCCTGAATGCGCTTCTCGAGAATATACGAGAGAGTATTGATCGGTAGTCTGGTCGACTTTACTGCTTTAGCTTCCAGCCGCTTTAGCCTTTTCGGAGGCCTAATTACAATCGGTCGTTTGCAGAATATGTCTTTTTCCAGTCCACTTATATACATCTGCCGCACAGCAGTTGATGATGCTGATTTCGAGGCGGTAGTAGATTCTTTTCGCTGAGGGGCAGCAGACGATTGATGACGCTTTAGGACGGCAGGTGATTTCTTCGGCTCTAACGCGGTAGATGATTTCTTTGGTCTATGGGCGGTAGATGATTTCTTTAGTCTAGAGGCGGTAGTTAAGTCGTTAAGCTTTGGGTCTTGAGTGCGACGAGACAGTTTCTTCGCCGATTTGCGTTTTTTCTTTGGGGAGTATCTGACAGGTGAGGTGAGCGAGCGGGGGCGAAGTGTCATACTCAGTCGTCTACGAGCAGTGGTGTAATTCCTTCGCTTGAGTGGCAATGCTTTACGAGGTGTAATACAGTCAACTTGAGTTGACTCAAGCCTCTTTGGCTTTCCAGGACTAAGCCGCCTTTCATGCGTAGAAGCTGTAGATTGTCCATCGATTATTCTCGCAAAGTAGTCGTTATCGCTTTGGTCCACAGAGGTTCTCGCAGAGACCCTACCTGGTGACCTTTTATGACGTTCAACCGTGAGTTTTGTCGCACTACTAGTTGCCCAGGACCACAAATTTGTAATGCTTGCTGTTAATCTATCCATGAATTGCGGGAAAGCTTTTTTCTATGAATTTGTTTCGTGCGATCGTATTATTGTCATTGTTACGCGCTGGTTGTCGCGCTCCATAGTTGTTTAGAATGGCAAGGAAAATAACTATAAAACAATGACATTGTTATATTTATACAATTATATATCCGCAATATACATAATATATATGAACGTGTGTGGTGTGTGTGTGTGTGTGTGTGTGTGTGTGTGTGTGTGTGTGTGTGACCGCATACAGCCTTATATAGCCTTATATCCGCATATAGCCTTTATAAGGTATTATTAGCTCTTGACAATATGGAGTGCAATACAAGACTTAGTGTGTGAGCTTAACAATGCGAAATTGTAATTCCGTTGCGTGGCAGTAGGCCTTCGCATAGTATCTCATAGTATCATGGTATCATAGTATCGCATAGTACGCATGTATAGTGATCTCGCATAGCGCTGGCTGCTGTGATTCGCGGGCAATATTAAATCACGAGTAGTTTATATTGTTTATTTTAATTGCATTTTTATTCAATTAATTTTTTACGAAATCAATAGTGTCTGATGGATTAACATCAAAATTTATTGTTTAGAAATAAATATGTAAAGGAATTATTACCTTAAAAATAACGAATAATACATATTCATTTTTCATTAGGCCCTACGTATCTACTTGTGTATGATTATTATAGTCTATTGCTGCATATTAAACAAGTCACTATATGTACAAAAACGTATTATTTTATGGTACGGCAGTAATTATTTACATTAATTACAACGTTAAATTGGGGGTTCATATTCATATAATCACGCGTGCCCGCACTCGCGCTCGCAATGCACACGCGCGCGCCCAGGTCTTCATCATTTAATATACACTCCAATATATGTGGCATTGCCTGCTGGATTATTGTTTGTCCTTTACACAAGTGATATTGTATTCCAGCAGTTCATAATAATTTCAGTGGTTACGATTCAGAAGCCTCAGCTCGATAGCGACCTCAGGTTACACCATATCGCCGTTATTTGTAGTATTTAATTCGTCGCGGGCTATACGGGATTTATATATAATTCCAAGAAAATTAAAAGTGGCACTCTTCATACGGGAAACGTGCAATAAAATAGGCTTCAACACAGCCACAGAGCCTTGTTATTATAGTTTTCCCGCAATACGTCGTCGAGCACCTTGTTAGTGCCGTGGTCGAACGCGCTGAAACGTCTAGACGGCTTGTTGACGTGTACCTGCAGCAATGACGCACATCGCACTGATGAATTCTTCTCGCCTCTCTCGTAAATGATATCCGTTGCACGACAGGATAGTTTATTACAGTCATTGACATTATTGTGCTGAGTGCTTGTCTTCGCTCGTTGCCGCTGAGTGACGCATTGCCCCTGCGTATACACAGACGTGAGCATGTCACGCAAATCTTCCGAGATTGTCGCGCGGCCGCAGCTGTGCAAACTCGACGTATCATCAGAAGAATAATCCGAGCTTATACAGGAGAGTCGGTCGTCGACTGATTCCACGGTCTGGTTCAGCGTGCTGCGGATGGCACTAGAATTGCACGATCCGCTCTCCTCAAAGGAGCAGGTAGAGTAATGCCCTTCCGAGATGGTGTTGTAGATTGAATCACGACTGCAATCATCTTCACTTCGCATTTCACTTGAGATCTGCATTACGTCTTTGCCCAGTAGAAGGTTGTGTTCTACGTGGTATAATTGAAGTTCGTAATCATCATCCCCGTGTCCGTCGAAATTGGGAAGGGATACGTTCACCTGAGGCGTCCCGTTCCTTCCGCTAGATGGCGATTTACACTGGAAGGTGTATGTATCTTCCGGACACTGCGCTCGCCCCTGTTTACTATTTGTACATAACTCGGCAGTAACGATGCTACCTGATTGCTCTCCATTTAGAGTGGTGTGATTTTTATTGCGCAAGTTTGGATGATATTTTAATTCTCCCACTTCCTCGTAAATGTGAGATATTAGGTCGTACTCGGCACGTATTGCGTCTTCATTCAGTGGAGTTTGATCTCTGATGATATCTAACGGCAGCGAGGGCAGTGGCCAACCTCTCCGTGCTTGAAATATGCGACCCTGTCATAGAGAAATAAAGGTATCAAATTGAATCACCTTTTTATTGAAACGTTTATTTTTCATCTATTCCATAAATAACGAAGTGAATCATATAGCGTTGCCGACAACTATCATAACATATATACGGATTGCGCGTATGTGTATTTTACGTATGCAATTTCTGTAGGATACACTAAGTAAGTTCACTAATTAACACCGATGCTCCACGTATGTCGAATAGGGATACATATGATATACGTGCACAATACACACATGGTAAATAAATAAAAATCCTATATAAAATCAATTTGTTCCGAAATTATCGAGCAAGTGCTACAAGGACAAGATGTGGGATGTAGCGTCATTTATTTCTTGGTTTATGTTTTTACAATAGATTCACCCGGTTAATGAGAAAGCTAAACCGAATATACATACCTTCTCTTTCGCTCTTTCAGCAGTGTACGCGTTTTTTCTAGAACGCACTGAAAGCTTTTTGAGGGCTGACAGCATGGTCAATAACGTCGGTGTATTATTCCTGTAAAAGAAAAAGGCACAGTGTGGTTAAAAAAAGTGTTCGCAAACCTAGGCTATATGGCCCTAGAATAGAGTTCCGAGTTCATTGAAGTATCGTCTGTCTGCCGCTTTATAATCACCATATATTCCTCACCAGAGTACATGGCAGGTGCCAACATACAGGTAGGGCGGATATGTCACCTAATTAACAAAACGGGTACTATATACATCCTTACATATACATGCCTTAGCAGAATGTACCACCAATCATTTCCTGAGTTTGCATAAAGTGAATTAACGAAAGCGCTTCAAATTGGGCAAACCACGAGGATGGAACTCTTAACATTTGTAATTTAGCATTTGCGAAATATACGCGTTAAATTTATTTTTAGCATACTTATATAAACTTGTATAAAAGACTTAGTAATATACTATCCTAATTTATAAATATAAATTCATGAATAGTTAATTATATGTTTTTAGAAGTAATGCTGCACCGTTCCACGTTATAACACAAACAAGTTTAATAAATTCATTTAATAATTTGTGTTTCCTAACCTACTTCGGTCGGAGAAGCTTGTGAAAACTTGAGCTACCTACGCAATTAAACGTTGTTACTAATGTGTTTAGAGATGTGTTTAAAATGCGTCACATAAAATTACTCGATGATATCAGTATCCTGGTTTAGTATAGACCCGTACGTCTTTGAATGCAACTATCAACTGCATTTTTCTAAATACTCAACGTTTTCACATTCATAGGAAATACTATAGAATACGATGCAAAAATACGAAATAAGCAGGAAAATCTCATTACGCAATACGCCAACACTGCCGAACGATCACGGACATACCTATAAATTTCTGCCGACGATAGCGTATCAAGATTAATTCTCGGCTGGAAACGACACCCAGTCTAGAGCGTAGTGTTCCGACCGTCGTCTATAGTACACTGTTCACATATATAAGCACTAACGCCAACAACCAAATCAGCCTGAGTCGATAGCTAACTGTCCCGCTCCGTTTCAAACACGTAGTTTTATTCCGGACGATCGAGTGTCCGGCTGTAAGCGGTACGTACGTGTACGGGCGGCCACTCTCTGTCATTGGCCGGACTAAGAATAGCTGATCTTTCTTAGTTCTCCCCTTCACGGCTGGCTGCGCGTGTATTTACGTATAAATCGGCGTTGCTTAACAAAGCAGTCAACGTTTACGAATGCGGGTTTGGTGCGGATTACACTGCCCCAGCTGGAAGTCAAGCTACCGCAACCGGAGGCCGCGTGAAAAGAGTTGGCAGATCAATTTAGCAAGAGCCGCTGCTAATTACAAGTGCTACGGAGATCGGCGGGTTGCTGGAAATGTTTGAAATTCCATTGGAGTAATTAACGAGCAGGCACTCTAGGTGTGAGCGCGCGTTTAAACTTGTTTGCACATTGCGATGCACATAGCCGGCGACGATGCCTCAGTCTTCAGGTGTTATGTGTGGTGCGATGCGAATGACACGCAAAAAATAATGCTATCACATCCCACCTGAGTAATAATCTAATATACACCCAATCCCGGGTTAAAGCCTGTATTACGAGATTTTTGCTTACAAACACTCAATCCAAAAAAAATATAGCTGAATTTGAACTTCCCGCCCCCATATGCAGTGAGAATTATATATGCCTACCTAGTATTAATGGACAATGAACCGAATAATTGCTAAGCATCTACACACTGAAATCAGTCGCCGTATAAATATGGGTGTGAGCGATACTCCGTTATTGAGGTCATAGTCAACCACCCCATCGCCGGAGGATGGGCGCACATGTACACAACAAACACGCGCGTAGATGCGCACACACGCACACACACACATTACTTGCAGAGAGGCAAGCCGTCGCTGGCTATATCAGCTTGTCCATGCATTAACCGTCTATTGTCCGACGCAAACACCCTCATCACATCCCGCTGCGTGCGCGCGTGAATGCTCCTTTACCTCCCCGCTACAAATTACTGAATACATCACCAACCACGACTCGACGGGTACACCGTCTTACTGGGATAACACGATAGATACAAAGAGCAGATTAGCGCACAGGGGCAAGGTGATAACATCGCGTGAAGAAAGAGATAACTAACCACTTCGTCGCGCGGTTGTCTCAACAAAGCACTGATTGCTCTCGTTGTCGACTTTGTGAGTGGGCGGCGCGTAAGTTGCGGAGCGCGTTGTCGATTACTTGGGAAAACAGCACCACCATGTCAAATGTTAGCCAGATGTTCCATATACATCAGCCGCGAGCAATGCGCTACTGCATAATGCGTATGTGGGAGCTGCTAAAGATTAGATATGGCAGCGCTACATGTCTTTCTGCTCACAGACACGTGCGGTAAATAGACTGAAAAATAACCAAATAAATATGTGTATATA